ACAGTCCAAAGACATGCGGTACAGGTGAATTGGGTAGGCCAAATTGTACACTACTAAATTGTAGTGTATGAGAGTGTATGAGTGTGTATGGATGTGTCCCAGAGATGGGTTGCAGCTGGAAGGGCATCTGCTGTGTAAAACACATGCTGGATGAGTTGGCGGTTTATTCCACTGTGGTGACCCCAGATTAATAAAGGGACTAAGCCCAAAAGAAAATGCATGACTGAATTTTAATGTTACTACACAAAGCACACTTTTACATTTTATGATAAAACATATGAAGATAACACTTTACAACACGCTTGTATTAATGTTAATAGTTATATTTGTATTCACAATGAACAAAATATTAATCACAGTAAAAATTTATCTGTATTAATTTTATGGTAACAAAGCCATTCATTGCTATTTCATTTTAACTCGCAGTGCATAAACTAATGTTACCAAGCATAAATTTGGATTTTTAATAATGCATTAGTAAATGCTGAACTTTGATTAATAAATGCTTAATTATTAGTTCATGTTGGTAAATACATTAACATTAACTAAACTGTGTCCTATATGAATGATGTAATCTATTAAATACATCTAAAATCATGTACTGTTATATACAGTTGAGGTCTGAATTATTAGCCCTTTAAATTATTACACCTTTGTTGGGAACCGCTGCTGTAGACTATCTGTAAAAAAAATTAGCTTAAAGAGGCTAATCATTTTGTACTTAAAATTCAATCATTGATTCATTTTTGTTTTGGCATAGTCCCTTTATTAATCCTGGGTCGCCACAGCGGAATGAACCGCCAGCTTATCCAGCATGTTTTTATGCAGCGTATGCCCTTCCAACCGCAACCCATCTCTGGGAAACATCCACACACACTCACTCATTCATACACACACTCATACACTATGGACAATTTAGCCTACCCCATTCACCTGTACCGCATGTCTTTAGACTGTGGGGGAAACCAGAGCACCCGGAGTAAACCCCAGCGAACGCAGGGAGAACATTAAAACTCCACACAAAAACGGCAACTGCCAACCTAGCCGAGCAGAGGTTCGAACCTTCTTGCTGTGAGGCGACAGCACTACCTATAAAAATTCAAAGTTGCTTTTATTCTAGCTGAAATAATAAAACTTTCCTTGCTCTATTAAACATAATTTGGAAAATATTTAAAAAAGAAAAAAAAAATCAAAGAGGGACTAATAATTCTGACTTCAGCTTTATAACATTAAACCCTTCTAATCTAATCACTTTAGGTAAAAGTACAATAATAAGTGTCAAGTTCATTTTCTGCCTCTTTCAAACTCTGAATAATTCCTCTCTCCTTCAGCATCATTCACAGGTTAGACTGTCAGTGGAGAGAAAACAACCTGTCAGTCAATCACACAAGAGCACTTAGCATATAATTCTCTCGCACTCTCTCGTTTCCAAAAAAACAGACAGCTCAAAATTCCCAGTTCTCAATTTGTCTGACCGCTTGTGCCACAACAAACCTGACTCACACACACACCCAGGGGATGTAGATTGACCCAAAGGTTAATGCCCTGCTCAGTAGCCTCTGACCTTGCCAGCCTCAGAGCTCAGTGGCGAAATGGACAGAGGAATTATGGGGTCTTTCAGTCAAGTCTATAGAACTGTGACACCGGCCTTGTATGTGTGCCTGAATGAATGTGGGGGTGATAGCATTTGACTTTTGAGTGACATCTTTGACTGCCTATTCTTGTGATCGGTTTTATGCGTCGTGTGATCGTCTGAATACAGCTGTGCTTTTGGATTTTATCTGATATGTGTCAGCATTTTAGCCATACTGCAGGCCTTTACAAGTACTGCAAACATAAATCCAGGACTGATCAGTATACTGATCAGTGGCACTAGCCCCATTTTCAAGTTGGGAAAAGCTCTGGTTAATAATAATGTGGCTGAAATATTCCATTCACAATTTAGTCAATCGACACATCAATGATGATTGATTTATTGATCCTTGGCTTCAAAATAGACATTTTGTCATTACATTTGTCCCCCTAACAACTACTACAACACTAAAAATGATAATTTTTTGTCAGATTTTGTCGTTCATTTACACAACAATAGTGTTTTAAGGGCCTCAAGACAAATTTTAAAAAATAGATTTAAAATTGATAGTTTCTAAAAAGGCGACACGGTTGCTCAGCAGTTAGCACTGTCATCTCACAGCAAGAAGGTCGCTAGGTCAGTTGACATTTCTGTGTGAAATTTGCGTGTTCTCCCCGTGTTCGCGTGGGTTTTCTACAGGTGCTCCGGTTTCCCCCAGAGTTATGATGTGGTATTGGTTAATTGAATAAAAAAAAATTGACAGTAATGTATCTGTGTGAATGAGTGTGTGTGGATGATTCCCAGTACTGGGTTGCAGTTGGAATGGCATCCACTGTGTAAAACAAATGCTGGATAAGTTGGTGGTTCATTCCACTGTGTTGACCCATGATGAATAAAGAGAGTAAGCCAAAGGAAAATTAATGAATGAATGAGTTTCTGAGAATCGGTGCCGTGACCCAGATGATAATGAGGAGGGTAAGTGTAATGGATGCGTGTGTGTTAAACATGCACAAGTACAGTGTGTGAGCACGTGGTATTGGTTAATTGAAAAAAAAAATTGACAGTAATGTATCTGTGTGAATGAGTGTGTGTGGATGATTCCCAGTACTGGGTTGCAGTTGGAATGGCATCCACTGTGTAAAACAAATGCTGGATAAGTTGGTGGTTCATTCCACTGTGTTGACCCATGATGAATAAAGAGAGTAAGCCAAAGGAAAATTAATGAATGAATGAGTTTCTGAGAATCGGTGCCGTGACCCAGATGATAATGAGGAGGGTAAGTGTAATGGATGCGTGTGTGTTAAACATGCACAAGTACAGTGTGTGAGCAGGTGTATAGTGTTTCTTTACACAGTGACAATGCTAACTACTAGTCCTGTCATACATAACACTGCATGTTTAATTAAAGATCTGAACTGTTCTCTGTATGCAAAACTGTTTAAAATAGTAAAAACTTCCTTTGCAATTCATAGTTGTGGATATGGAAAAAAAAAGTAAATATTTATTTGCAGTAGAAATAGAAAATGTAAATTATATTGCATTGGCAAAACCAAATTATCAGTCATAATTAACAAATTCATTGTATCCTTGCTAAATAAAATAATGATTCTTCTTCAATTAATTAGTTAAAATCCTGATATACACAACAATATTAAACACTAATATATAACATGGAAAACTAGACCACAAAAGCTGTCATAAGTGTCAAGTTTTTAAATTGGGATTTATACAACATTGGAAAGCTAAATATTAAGCATTCTATTGATGTATATTTTGTTAGGATAGAACAATAGTTGGACAAGTTAAAATTATGTGAATATGTGGAATCTGAGGGTTCAAAAAAATAAAATACTGAGAAAACATTTTAATGTTGTTTAAATTGTGCTAAGCAATACACATTACAAATAAAAAAAATTACATATATACCGTGTACTCTGGAAAAATCTTTGTGGAGCATGATCTTTACCAATTCTACAAATTTTTGGCATAAAAGAAAGATTAATCATTTTGACTCATACTTGTATTTCTTTGTTATTGCCAGAAATACACAGCCTTATCTCACGAGGAAACGTAAGTATTTTACATTTTGTCAGTTTAGTGGCTAACTCGTACATATTCGTACGAGTTCAGTCATACGAAAATGTACAATTTTAAAAAAGGAGGCGTGGCACCCAGCCCCACACCTATCCCCAACCGTCATTGGGTGATGAGCAAATCGTACTAAATTGTACGAAATAAATCATACAAATTCATACGAATAAGCCACTAAATAAAAAAGCTACGAATTGCCGTGAGATTGCGTTGGAAATGTACTCACACAAGTTTTGTGGTCCAGTGTAAAAATTTATCTTAAACAAATGCTTCAATCTTTTCTGTATTATTTGTCTCCATTAGAGCATAAAAGGCCAATATACATCTGTGTTGATTACACATGGATGGTCCAGTGTAGCTTTCACACAGTCACAGAGCTTTAACAGAACACTAACGCAAACCCTGATGTGCACCTCTCAAAAAAAGAAAAAAAAAAAACTAGCACAAGATCTGTGATTGGTCTGCTTGGTAGCAATGATAAGTGTGCGTGGGGCTGAGAGCCATGGGAGTGGGGCAAGGCTGGAGTGTTTAACAATCAGTCAATAACCTGATCCGACCCCCCAGTAACTTTTACTCTCTGACCATTAAGCAATGAAATGAGTTTCTCAACTTCTTTACTGAAAAAATTGATGATATTCAACTCCATTGCCTGTGAGCATCCTCTTTAATCTGTTGAACTTTATCCTTCTGTACTTCTTGATTCTGGTATTTCCACTTTTAATACCGTTGACTTTGATTTTATTACAAAAAAAATATGGTCGATGAATTCGTCGACCTGTATTCTTTACCCTTTACAACTACTGTCTTGAAGAACTGTCTACCTGTTTTTGTTTCTCATATCACAGCCATTACTTATATCTTTTTTATTTCAAGGACTATTTTTCCGGCTGCGGCTACTCCTGTCCTAAAAAAGTCTGGAAGTGGTTTTGATCTACTTCTACAATAGCTTTCCACACATTGCTTGTGAAAACCCAAAACACCAAAACAGAACTTTTTATCTGATCCATTATCTTGGCCAAAACAAACATTATAGCATGTGTGTGGGTAACTTTTGCAAACGAATGAACACGTGTTTGCTACTTAACCCTAAACCTCTAGGCAGTACTGAGTCTTAACCTCAGCCAAAAACTCTATAGAGAAAGCATCAGCACCAGCGGGGTCAAGGCCCCAGCATTAGCTCAGCAAGGTGAAAGGTCAGCGTTAGGCTCAGTATGGGGGTGCACAGGTCAACAGCAGGGTTTGGACAGGGTCAAGTAATGCTGGCAGCCAGGCAAGGGCAAGCGTGAGCTTTCAGAAGAGGTGGCAGGATAAACGCCCCTACCCCCTCAGCCCTTACCTGGGAGGGCTTGTAGCTGATGCTGTCTGGGATGGGGTAAATGTCAGGAAAGGGCTGTCGGTCAAAGACATGGTCCAATACCTCGAGCTGCTGTGGTGTGAAGAGTTCTCCTCGCATCTGCTTCCGCAGGAAGTCCCGTCCCGAGTGGCTGTGGCCATTCGCCAATGGAGAATCCTGGAGAGCTGCAGAGAAACCAAACATGAAGATAACATGAGGAGGTGATAAAGTATAATATGACATTTACAGCAGTAGGGAAGTAGGGATTTGGGACCTGGCTTGTGTACTTCAAGAAACAGTTCTTCCACAAATGAAAATTATCCTATAATTTACTCACTCTCAAAACATCAACGATATATATGACTTTCTTCTTTCACACAAACAATCACACTTCTTTTCAGCTTTGAGAGTGAATGGTGCTTTAGGTAAAATTTTAAAAAGCGAATCCAAAATAAAAGGTAATTCATATACAACTCATGTGAGTTATTTAATTGAATTATTGAATTATTCATATGGGGGCATCACTGTGGCGCAGTGGGTAGAATGATCGCCTCACAGCAAAAAGGTCACTAGTTGGAGTCTCGGCTGAGTCAGGTAGCATTACTGTGTGCATGTTCTTCCTGTGTTTGTGTGGGTTTCCTCCGGGTGCTAAGCTAAATTGGCCGTAGTGTGTTTATGTGTGTTAATGAGTGTGTATGAACGTTTGCCAGTGATGGGTTGCTGCTGGAAGGGCATCCGCTGCATAAAACAAATGCTGGATAAGCTGGTGGCTTATTCCGCTGTGGGGACCCCTGATTAATAAAGGGACTACGGCCCCGTTTACACTAATGCGTTTTAGTTTGAAAACGCATAAGTTTTGCTACGGTTACGCCAACCGTCCACACTACGCCACACACTACGTTTCGAAAACGCTGGAGAGGCCGTTTTCATTCTGAAACGCTGCTGCTCCGTCTCAGTGTGGATGATGGAAAACGGAGACATCTGAAAACGGAGGCGGGACTGCAGACATTCGCCTCTCTGATTGGGGCTTTTCCTGAATATTAAGTAGCCTAACACACACAGTTCAGTCCTGCATTCTCTCCGTGTAAGTTCAGACTTCGCAAGTTTGATTAAGGCTGCAGTCTCTTCTTCTCAGTTTGATATGGAAAGCAGACTATACCGAGGACACGGGTAAATCTTCAAAGGGAACAGTGTACTTTATAACCTCATTCACATCACCCTGGCTACGTTGTTTCACTTTCTCAACAATAAAATGTAAACATGATTTAAGGAACTGCCTATTTTCATTTTAATATTAGCAACTTAGACAGCAGAAATGTTGAGGCGTCGTGCTGCCTGAGCGTCATCTTCACTGTGTGGATATTTATAACAAAACGGAGCCGATAACAACTCCCTCCTTTCAATTTCAGTGAAAAGACGAAACACATCCTCTCTTTTGCTGAATATCAGTTTTAATAATCGATAATGGCCATTACAAAAGTATAACATACAATAAGTTTATACATTATAGGAAATAAAGGCCAGCGATCAGTCAATATACAGAATGTACGTGGTTACATTAATCATTAACTTATCTTTGCGCTTAGCCAAAACACGTTACCTGAGAAAAAGTAATAGATTCCAATGACCAAAGTCAGGGAATATGTCGTTAGATAAAGACAACAAGATGAATGAAATATCCCGTTTAATAAATATAGTGAGATTAGATCCAGCGGGAGATGCTGGATGAGAAGTCCGACTAGCACAGCTCTTATCTGGGTAGATGGGCTCCAGCGCTTGCCCGAGAGTGTCTGTGTGGTCACGTGATGTGCGTTTTCAGCGTTTTGGTGTGGACGGAGAGCAGTTCAGAAACGCTGGGTAAAACGCGAGTGTGGACGCGGATCGTTTTCATTCTAAAACGCCGTTTTAAAACTAAAACGCACTAGTGTAAACGGGGCCTACATCGAAAAGAAAGTGAATGAATGAAGGAATTAATCATTTATTTGTTCATAAATATATGAATTATTCATGTATTATATGTGAATTGGTTAATTTAAGGATATTATTGTTTTCTACTATATCTAGATTGAAAACCCCTGATCAGAGACAGGTCTGATTGAAATTACACCAGAGTCCAACTCAACAGCATTTGTTTTCAAATCGACAGGACCTGACTATAAACACCACTGACGTGCACAGCCTGCAGTGAATAATGGAATATTCTGCACACAATGAAAACATCCCAAAATGTCCTGAACAAACATACCAAGTTAGTGGCTTTTCCTGATGGATCTTATATCTGATTTATTTATATTTTGTGGAATGTTACAAATTTTTGTTCTTATCTGTACTTACAATAAACATATAAAGAAATGAAGTCCAGTAATGTGAACAACTTACTAGAGATATCATCACTGTAACTGTATTACTTGTACGTAACTTTGAGTCTGATCGGAAAAAGTACATTTACTTTATTTACTGGACACTAAATGTCACTAATACCAAATCTCAGGAACTCAGCTAAATTTTGGACCCGCACCCACTTGGGTTTCAGGTCGAACTTTGGGTTTTTAGATCCAAATAGACTAGTGAAGACTGTGTGTCTGTCTGAAAGAAGAAAGGCATGTACACCTATGATCACTTGAGGAAGAGTAAATTATGACAGAATTTTCATTTTTAGGTGAATTGTTCCTTTAATTACGTCCTGCCAAAAATGAAATAATAGCAATTTATTTCTCTTTTTCAACATGATGATAAGGTTGGGTACTTTTCTAGAGACGGCCACACAGAGACGCAAGCACACATACAGGCACACAAACACAGATTTCTGGACTTGCGTCCTCTTCTCTGAGTGAGTGTTAAGGCAGCGCGTGAGTCAGTTATTACTGGGCTGTTGAGTTTCTGAAGAGACAATTATAAGAGCTGAGAAAGCTACAGCCCTCAAATGATTACAGGGAGAGAAAGAGAGAGAGAGAGTGAGAGAGAGAGGGATGAAAAAAGAAGAATAGAAACGAAAATCCCTGATATAGAGCCAATTCATTTCTTCAAAATGCCTCTGAGAGGTTATTCTAGGGAGTTAAAGTCAGAGGCCAGAGCAATCCCACAAGACGAGAGAGAGAGATAGAGAAAGAGAGAGAGAGAGAGAGAGAGAGAGACAGAAAGAGAGATATGGAGGGATTTAGAGAGACAAAATGACAGACAGACAAAGCAGCTATCCAAACATTCTCTTTTCCTCCTTCATTTGAACACAGAAATCGATGCATTTGAATGTGAATTCAGATCCAGTTTACTGCTTTCTATGTTTATTTAAAAGAAAGATCTACTAGTCGCTGACGGGCTGATGGCATGCGGGTCCCATGTGTCTCTAATACACCTATATGACAGGACTTACCTCAAGAAAGCTTAAACGCTCTCTCTCTCCCTCCCTCTCTCTTTGATACACACACACAAAACACACAGAGAGTGTATGATCTCCAGTGTTTTGACCCTCTTAATCCCAGCGGTCAGTGTGTCTGATAGAATTCAATTGATCAATCATGTCTGTGAGATGGCACCATTTCAGCAGGTTTATTGCTTTCCACTCTTCTCAAAGACTGTCCACCAATCGCGCACACACAAACACACAAAAGACGGCTGAAGGTGTACACCAGTGCACATATCTGGGTTTAAAAAATGGCCACTCTCTGTGTGCTTATGTTTGTGCACATGTATTTTTAGTAATGCATCAGTAGACTGCTATGATTCTGCTGGTGAAGCTGCATTTATATTGCATTTATCTACATTTTATTACAGCATTTGTTTTATTACATGTTATGAGATTTTTTGTCATTGGTTTCTCTTTCTTTCCCTGCATTTAAGCTTGAATGAACTCCTGATCAAACCTGATGATTAAATCATTATTTTAGAGTATCTAATGATCATTTTCTGATTCAGTGACAAGAAATCTGCTCTTTTGTTTACATTAATTCACAGAGACAGTGATATATAGATTTGCTTTTTGGTTTAGGGATCTATATGGGTTGCAATATAATGAGGGATTAACTGAGGCAGAAAATATTCAAGATAAATTTGAAAATTAATAAACTGTCAAATCATAGCATTACATTTCAATCTGCTCACATTGCATCAGATTTCTTCTTAAGCATTGTTTGCAGTGCTTATAACCAACCACACACATTATGAATGTGGTAGCCAATTAGTTCTCACATCAAAAAACAACAATGTGATGAAACAGTGAACAGCAAATAAGACATTCATTTAGCAGTTTTGGTGATTACGACAGAAGTTTTGCATAACTTTTACTAGTTTTCTGTCTGATTAAGTCTTTAGTTGGAACTCTCTCATGTAATAATTCCTATTAAATTAATAGTTTGAGAACAATAATATTTTTATTAAAGGTCCAATGAAATTAAAATATATATTTTTTAGATGTTAGTATCAGTATTGTTAGTTTTTAAGATATCTATAAGCCAGTGTGCCCCAAAACATTGACAAAATTTGCATTTAAAAGATATAAAACTGACACAAACATGTAAAACTTGTAGTTTGTCACACCTAAATGGAGCAACTGTTTTATTCATGTCACCTCATACTACAGTTCCTCATCAAATCATAACCAATCAAATGCTCTCTAGTGTCTGCCATTCACCGCCCCCTTCAAGTGCTTCTCATTTGCTTTTCTTTTCATGCGTTTGAGCTCAACCCCTCTCACTGGCACAGCCGTAATAAAACAAAAGGAAGTTTATTAGGGATGCACGACAAATCGTTATTGGCCGATAAATGCTATTTTTAAGATTATCATTATTGATCTAATGTCTAAATTACGCCGATATCTTCAAGCCGATAAATTACGCAATTGTACAGACCTGCCTGCATCGTTCCTCATGGGCGGAACTTGTTTAGACTTGCCCAGTGCACTATAATGGATCTCTTCTCACATTGTTAATTCTTTCAAAGACCGTACCTGGTATTGCTGTGCGTTAATAACTCAGTACGTAACCAGGTACCTTATCATTGTAGATATGTTTGATGTAGTGTCGTTGTGTATTTTGCTTTAAATTGTTATGTGCAAACATAACAGCAGCGATGCACACGTGCTAAACAACTTGTTAATTTGTTTGTAATTGAATATGATTATTTGTTATTGTCAAGGCGTTGCTTGCCATGTGTTGTTGATGTAAGATTGTATTCAGTTTGATCTGAATAT